TGTAACAATCCCACTCTTACTTCTTGGTGTACAAACATTTTAAGTTAATTCAATATAATAATAAAGTAAAAGTGAAAAGGTTTTTATCGATATTCAATTGGAAATATGAAGTCGAAAAAATAAGTCAAATTTGAAATCGTATGTTTATATTCCAAACAATTCACCTATAGGTGAAATAATGCTAACTTTAAAAAATGCAGTTTAAACTGAATTTCCCTAAAATGTATCATTTCTGTATATTTAAACTTAATCTGATTTAAGACTCTAATAACAGACTCTGTAACAAAACTGAATTTGTATATTTGATAAAAATAATTACTTAAAACAAAAACAGATTAATTTTTTTAAGAAAGGTAAATTAGAAAATTATAGTAATTGCATTAATTTTAAAAATGCTTAATACAAGAGTCATTGAGATAGTAATTTTCCCACACCATCCATATATAGCAGGCAATATAATTAGAATGACAAGTATGCATCATGGGAATATTCCAGAGGTTTGTGCCAAAAAGAGTCAGTTGCAGGAGCCAAAAATGTCCCACTACCCTCATCCTTACTTTTGATTGTGAGGTGAAATCAACACTAAAGTTTTTAAATGCACAGAATGATGCAGATGCAGCAGTGTATTCTGGAGAATTGTTGCAAAATTCCAATCCTTGTTGCTGGAAATCATTATGGAGCACCTGCTGTTCCAGAAGTTGTGCACCCAATGGGTTCCGAAAAGCCTTACATTAGAGCAAAAGACTAAATACATAGAAAGAGCACTGGCTTCACTGCAATAGTACAGCAACGATTGTGACAAACTTGTCATAGGTGATGAGATGTGGGTTATTCGCTTCATCTAAAACAAAGGAACAATCGAGGTACTGACATCACAGTTTATTCCTATAAAGGTCTAAATTGAAGCAGATTGTTGACAAGGTAATTGATGTTCCCTATTTTCTGCTTATTAGCTTTCTAACCAGGAGTGCTATGGTAAAGATTGACCATTACTAAAAAAAACTTCAGAAACAGAGATGGGCCATTCAGAACAAGATGCATTGGATGCTAAGTGCTGGTGCTGTGTTGATCCAAGACAACACTCGCCCACAATACATAGCATCTGAGACAGGAATTCCACCGAAAAGTATTTAACAATCTAGTCTATGATCTTGTATATTCCACTACTGATTTCCATATTTTCTTTCACCACAAGAAATTTCTCTCATCTCAGACTTTTTATAGACCTGAATAAATGCAGACTGCTGTCACATATGCTGTCTCCAATACTTCTATTCAATCCAATTCTTCTATGGCACGGAAGTACAAAAACTGATTGCATGATATGGTAAATGTTACAATCTCAATGATTCTTATGTAAAGAAAGAGTTGAAAGATTGTTGTATCTGTTCCAATCAATGTTTCCAGGCAACTATGTTTTAAAGTAATAATTTAGAAGATATTTGCAACAATAAAAAGCTTTGCTGTAGGAAAATTTCAAAATTAATTGTTAATTGCATTAGATTTAAATTTATATATAATTCAACAGTATAAATAATTCTTTAAAAAAATTCCACTTACATAACTCATTCTAATAATGCAGTAGAAGGGGGAAAGGGAAGTAAAATTACTTATGGATACAAAAAAGTTTGACTACTGCACCTGAAAGCTAAGGGGGAAACATTAATATTTCTAAATGACAGTTTTAAATATTTACCTGTCTGCAGGGCCACCAAATCTGATATGTGTTATAATCAGAGATTTAGATTTTAGTCTGCCATTATAAGTCCCATTCCTTAAAGTAAATCCAAAACTATCTTTCTCCTTCTCTAGTTTTACCTGTATCACTTTTGAAGTGAAATTGGAAGCACCATCAACTGTTAAAAGACATATTTTACATATTAAATGGTGCTATAAATACAATCTAAATATTTATTGCATTTTCATTAAGATTATAAAAATAATTAACTACAATTAATAGTTACTGAGAACCAAACCAAATCCAATATGAAATGTACCAAATACCTTAAAAATATATCAATATCAGCAAAACTGCTCAAAATTCCTTTAAATTAGTTACTACAATATTTATCTTAAAACAAATTTCAAAAAGCTGATTTCAAACAAGCACAATATAATACATGAAAAGTTCACACAAACCTAAATATATGATATGATGAAATGAAATGTTGACCAGCTGCTGTTGCAGCAGAATCATAATTTCATTCATAAGTTACAAAACAGAGAGAAGAAATAAAATTGAAAAAGAACTCAAATGCAGGAACTCTAACAATGATGAATAAGTTAAATTAAGATCATAAATTTACGAATATCTTTTCCAAATTTTTGTGCAGGATTATATTAATAGCATTGAATAAATTATGGGAATATGTATTTCTTCTTAAAAAACAAAGTCAAGTATCTCAACTTTTATTCTTATAAAATTCAGTATTCAGGCAATTAGAATTTTTTTACCCCCTAAAGCCAATGCACAGTTATCGTCCGTTTTGTTCTAATTTTATTATATATTTTGTCGTTTTCAAAGTTCATTTTCACATAAATATTTCGTTAGTAAAGAATGATGATCAATTTATTCTTTCATATAAAATATATCACATGTATAGTGATATATCTTTGTATATAACTCAAGTACATTTTAAAAGATTGCCTTTATTTCTTTGTTCTCAAGAACTGGAAAAGAAAAAAAAAAGCAAATATATACATCGAAAGCTAAATTATTTTTCTATCATATATACTTAGTGATAGGGAGCAAATAATTAGGATTTTTATAAAATAATCATTATTTGAATTTTAATAATTGTATCAAATTTGCATACAAAGAACATCCTGTTGATATAGCTATGATGATCAATAAAACCATTAAAACAAGAGAGAAAAACCAACAGATAACCTAGTGTGATATTAATACAAAAATTTTACATAAGATAAAAAATAATTTTTAGATATAGTGTAACATTTAAAATTTAAGATTGATAAGTGTAACATATTGTGCATACAATTATTTCTGATTCATATCACCCATATTAAAAAAAAAAAAAAAAAAAAAGACTCACCCAAAACAGGTATTTCATATTCTATTTCCAAAGTAACTTTATTTCCAGCATTTTTCAGCAGAGTAACTATTTCTTCATGTCTTAATTTATATGTTCTTATGCCATTCACAGACACAATGTAATCACCAATTGCTAAAGCATCACATCTGAAATATTAAATACAATTAAAAAAAACATATTAAAAAAATTACAAATGTTTGGCACAGGCAATCCAATTTAAATCAAAAGAAAAGCTGCAAAACGAAGCATAAATTTTTCATTAAACATATTACTTAATGTAAACTTTTAATATGTTTCAATAAACTGTCATAAACTATTAGAAACAAATACTTAATATTTACTATTATAATGATATTGCTCTTTACAAAAATATATTAGGTTCCCAATACTGAAGGAAAGTAAATGGAACAAATAAAATGTTAAGCAATTCAATGTTGTCCAATGACAATTCTATTTTAAGTAAATTCTACTGGAGAGATTTTTATATGAATATTTCAGAGACAAAAATGGCAAAGGAAATGAAAGATGAGTATTTTAACTGACATTTTTAAAGAAATATATGCATTTTTTAATACAAAACATATCTCCAGGAAAGTTGTAGATAATAGGTCAGTTGTGCTTTATTTATAAAATTCCTTTTCAAGGTAGAATAAGAATTTCAAGATAAGAAAATACTACTTTTAAGAACATAAACATCTAATATTAAAAAAAATAAACATTGTTTTACATAACATAGAAACTGATTAAAATAAAAACATAAAATTTAGCATCTTAAATATTGAAATAAAAATTATGCTCTAAATTATTATGTGATTTCAAATTTGAAACTTATCAACATTTCAATTGACATTAAAAATAAGCATGACTGTTAAAGAAATTAAAATTTTAGTTACATTTATCATTATTTAATGAAAGGAATTACTCTTATTCAAGAAGTGCCTGTATAAAAATATTAGGAATTAGTAATTAATGACTATATATGAAACAAAATTTATTAATTTACTTAGTTTTGGTCTTTGTCCATTATTGATTAAGTAAAAGTGAAAATTCTTAGGATTACCTGACAAACACTATAAAATTTTAGATGTTTTACAGTTGAATGGAATTTTTTTGTTCTTGCTTTATCAATTTTCAAAGTATATAGCTTGATACACTATAACATAAAGAAATAGCATATTTGGGAGTAAAAGAATCAGAAAATAATCTATAAATATCAAAATTAAGGTTTGGATTATACATTACAGTTTAATAAAAGGAAATTATTCCGCAAAGAAAATGACTTGGTTTGAAATAAGGACTTCAAAAATATGGGTCTCACTGAACAAAGGCCTTTGTAATTTCACAGTATGGTCTGATAAAGGATGTAATGGTAGCAGTGTGTTACATACACAGAATTAAGAATTATACATAAGGAATGTAATGACAATACTAATTTACTTCGTAGATTGATACTGGAGTCCCAAGGATCCCTGAAATAATGAATAGCCTGAATGAAGATCCTCCATGATTGCGTGAAAAGCTATTCAACAGCAGTAGGAAACCGAATTGTCGTTATTAAATTGCCATTCTTTCAGGAATTTCTTGAGTGGACTAAAGACATGATTGTTGCAAAGTGAGAAGTCCGATCAATAAGGGAAAGTATGAGAACTTCCTGTCCAAACCACTGCAATAAATATTTGCATGAAGAAACTCCATGAGGGTGGCCATTGTCATTAAACTGAATGATCCCTTTGGACAGCACACAACCTCGAAGATTCTCGATTGCTGTTTTTCAGTTTGTGTGCAATGGCACAGTAGCCAGTTGCATTCACTTTTGTGGAAAAAGTATGGGGATGAACCTTGTAATTTTGAACATCAGTCAAGTGACGAAGGCAATACCTGGGCTGGTGCTCTCCTAACTTCCCCACCATGCCAACAGGAGGACTTTGGGACCCGACAGATTTAATGTGCATCAGGGTCAAGGCTTGAACCTGCAACTCAATGAAAACCGCCGACAGCAAGTCCATGGCCATGACCACTAGGCTACCTGCATCTCCCTCTCTAAACTTCCACACCATGCCCATGGGAGAACTTGGAGCTTCAACAGATTTAATGTGCTTCTATCCCACTTCATGATGAGTCTCCAGTAACATCAGGCTCAAACCCCCGACTTGATGGAAACACAGCCACCTACAAGTTCGCAACCATGACCAATAGGCTACCACAGCCACCAAGGAGAAGTGCATGAATAATTTATCTGCAGATAGATAGAACTGCTATTATCTCACTTGTAGTAATTCACTGATTCTGCCTCACCAGATTGTCCATTGTAGTAATTATTTCTTGAATCATGATTGCCTGACCCGGCTGAGGCCTAATGTCTGCACCGGCTTGTTCTATACGAAACTCACTGCTTCATCAAAACACAGAATTAGGCGAGACACTCCGGCCCATATACATTTTGCATTCGATTATAAATTTCAACTAGATTCTCATTTTCCCCAGTAAAAATTGCATGATCGCATATTGACTACATTTGGACGCCTTCATGATCTGTTAAGTAGTGATTACCTTGCTTCCATGCAGTAGCAAAGACAACTGACGCATATTGACTATACTACCTGCTTTCCTATCACTTAAAGCTATCTCTTGGTACATCCACAGCTATGTGCATCTTTATGTAATGGCGCATGGGCAACAATTTCATTTTCATTGGGCGACCCTTATATTATTCTACTCGAGATCCATCCATCCTGAATTCATAAGCCATATTAATCATATTATAATTCAGACACACACACAATTTTTATCTCATTTAAAGCAAAATGAATTAATATATATTCCAATTGTAAGTTTTATGATAAAAAAACATTTTAAAAAAATTATTTTGGAAAATTAAAATTATTTGAAATGTACAAGTAAGTGAAAGTAGAGATTTATGGTGCAAGAGCCAAATCTGGCTATGTTGTAACAAAACTGTGTGTATCTGTGATATAAACATTAGAAAGAGTTGGAAAAAAGGTAAAAATCGGTTGACAACAAGAAGGGTCAAAAATAGAGACCAATCACTTGGTTACCCTGTGGGTGTATCACCCGTGTTTACAAAAGACAGCAAACCTCATGGGGAAGAAAAGATCAATAGGGTTCCTCGGTATCATTATTATTGTACTTACATAAAGAAGGTAAGCCACTAAGGAGAAGTTCAAATGCATGGATAACCATCAAATATTTTATAAGTTGAGAAACAAATAAAACTTCAGTAATTTTACATTCATTCTGTATTGTGAAAATAAAGAAAGCAAATTAAAAACAGAACTGTTCCCACTCGTTTTTAGCTCACAATACATTGTTATTGCATCTTTCGACATATATAAAAGTAATGATAAAGAAAACAAATATGTGATACAAACGAGCTAGTATATGTTAAAGAAAACAAATGAAACACTATTCATAGAGAAAAACTAAGAAGCCTAAAATTATATTTATAGTGTAATGTGTCGCATAAGACTAGATATGAAGACATTAAAAATTCAAAACAGATATAAATTTAATTTAAAATGTTGTGTCTGGCTTTTGACAGACAGGAGTGACATTTTAAAAATTCCATTTGATTTATATCTTTTCATTGTGAAAATGTGAAACAAGTTTCCTAAAAACAACATCTAACATTACTACAAGTTATAAAAAAAACAAGACATTAGCTCTTAAATACACATAAATTCTTCAGATGCTTTCCAAAACTAAAAAATACAGCCACATGATCATGATTGAATACATACAAACTTTTTAACATACCTATGAGCTATGCTACCAGGTCTTAAATTTGAAATTTTTGGTCTTGAGTTTTTATCAATTCCACCTATAAAAAGTATAAATAAAAATGAAGTCCTCATGAATAATGGGGGGGGGGGGGGGAATCTCACGTGAAAAATATAATAAAGACTATAATGAAAAGATTGAACAGAGATTCACCAAAAAATTGTGTACTTACAGAATGTAGTACCAAGATAGTGAAACACTCAATTTTAATTTAACTACAGCATATAAAATACAAAAACGCATTTTTCAGTGTAAAAGAGGCATTAAAAGTAATAGCTTTAAAAATAACACCTCAAGTTAAAACTAGTGTTGATGTGTAGCTAATTTCACACAAAAATAGTCAGCAAATAGCTACAGTGTTAAAAATAAAAATGCAAAATAAAACTGAAAACTTCAGCAAAAATAAAAACAATACAAAACTATTCCATAGTAAATAATCCATTACTAATTTAGCTAAGTTCAAAACTTAAATTTTAATTATATGACAGCAATGTACTTTTATCATTTTTGTCAAAAAAAAAAAAAAAAAATGTAGATTAAAGTGAAATTTGATTCTTTCCAAACACAACTTCTAATTATTACACTGCTCTATATAAAACCTTAAATATTTAATCTATTTAAAGCCTTTGATCAGAAAATAATTTATCAATTCTAATATAAGAAAATTTATCCATTATTCTATAAGCCTAATTTTAAGATAATTTAAATACATTTTTGAAAATTTCAAAAACTACAGAAATAACCAAGATCAAAAATTATGCATGTTAAAAAAATACAATTGCCGAATATTTATCCGAAAAAAAATAGTTAGATTAAAAATATTATAATAAAATATTCGTTTTTAATTTACAGAACTGAAAGAAGCTAATGAATTCATCACATAAAAAAGTAATACTAAGAGATCCCAGAAAAGCAGAATTTTATCAACTACGTTATTTACGAAGTATTGTACAACAAATATGTGAGTGTGGCAGTGTAATTCAAATGTGGGATTGTTATTAATTTTCTAAATAGAATTAGTCTTTTGTTTAGTTATTTAACATTATTACATTAGAAAACACGATTCCATAATCTAATAAATTAAAGGAATGACAAAAAAAAAAGTCATATGTCCCCCCACACAGGCAATTTTCTTCCAAAGACATAAAGGACAGTAATTACCATTAAAAGTATTAAAAAATATTAATATTTTATTTTTTAGAATTGAACACTGACACACACAGTCATTAAAGTACTTAAAAATAATACTCAAACTGACAAATTCCTTTTATTTGATTTAACAATGCGACTAGTACCTGAAATTATGAGTCCTAGAGTCATACCATCCTTCTTTTCTAACTCCACACATAATGTCCCCTTTCTATCGTCTAAAAATAGATAATATATACATATTTATAATTTTTTTCATTAATTTTTAAGCTGATTACATATGAATGATTTAAAACCATCCAAAAATATAATACATCATGCTCACCATTGATAACATTAGAACAACTTTCTTCAATTTGATCCAAATTACTTTTGTTGTAGAATGAATCACCTATAATGCAACAAAAACAAATGTGAAAAAAAAAAAAACACAGAAAATATCGCTAAACAATGCAATTGTTTTTTTTAAAGCAATCATCAATGATCAGTGCGTAATTTTCACTTTCCTACAACAAACATGTCAATATGTGATACCCTTTTTAACTAATTCGATTTGTAAATGAGTCTCTCTCTTGCTCGTTTTATAAACTATTTTCTTCTTAACATAATTTGGGCAAAGAGTATGACAGTTCGAGTTAAGGGTAAGGAAAATTGCATTATTTATCGGTCCATTATCTTACAAATTAGAAACACCAGAATTTTTCAAAGCATTTCTAAAAATACATGGATTGTTATGAAATAATCTGACTCTTGATTTATAGTTTCCAAACAATCTTTAATGTAATTTTTTACAAGTAAAGTAACTTTAAGGCTTTTTATTTTATCAATTTTTAACCCTTTTTATTTATTCATTTTTCACTCAAAAATATTTGAATAAAAGCATTTGGATGCAAAACATATTAACATATGCAAAAAAAATGGCATCTTTCTCAAAGTTGAAAATTTATGCACTTTGTTGTGCTTTTTAATATTTTTGTAGAAACTGCTCATTTTCATAAACGAAAATAATCGTAAGTATATATATATATATATATATATACACACATGATAGGTTATATAATGATAGGTATACTGTAGTACAATACACAATTGCAACATTGAAATCACTACTTTTAAACAAAAAAAATTTTAAAGTAAAATGAAGTATATGTAATTTGAAAAGTAATTCGGCAGGTATATTACTCGCTAATCGAGGTTTGACGAGCACAAAAAAGCACGTAATGTTCTATAATGTCACTGAATCTATGATTTGCTACAGCTGAACTGAACACAGAATTGTTCAATATTCCTGAATTTTCATAATTTCCTCGATATTTCGTGAGTCGATTCAATCTTATCTTATACTGCCTTTCTATCACAAAAAGAAAATACAAAAAATGTAAAAATTAATAAGTGATCGTTGTCTTACTGTGCTATCGATTTATTATAAAAAAAAAAATAAGGTCTGATGCATCTATCCACGACAAACAGTCTTTAACACAAGATTCAATATTTATTCCATTTTTAAACACACCAAAAAAAACTTTTTTTGGTAAAAATTGTCAAATTGTAAGCAAGGTAACAGTAACAAGTAAATAAAGACAATTCAGTTCCATTTATTTCAACTCTATTATTGTTCTAAATATCTGACTTCTATAACAAGGTTTTAAAAAAAATCACATTTCATTTTTTTTTTTTTAACAGCTATGGGTGATTGTAGCTGTTTGACAAAAATGAGAGAAACTTTTTTGAAGCGGGCAAATTCAATAAGAGAAAGGATTGAGATGTAAAGAATTCCTTTTAGGGAGAGTGACTGACTGTGGATTTTAATGGCGCAAGAGTCCTTTTAGGGAGAAAAGAAAAAATTATAGTAAAACAAAATGGTACTGTTACAATTGACAGCCACGCCTTATTTTCTTCTTGAATAACACGCACGTGAAAGCTTCAGTTTTACAGAAACCGAACAAAAATTACGTAGTATAAAGGAACTTTAGCATTAGAATATATTGTCCGTTCGTTTATGCAGAAAATACAATAATTTACATATTTTAAAAGAGAGAAACATTTTTACATTCTGTAATTACTACTATTACATAAAAACACC